GGTGCAAAGCTGCCACCGTAGGCTGGCTCGCCACTGAAGCCGCGGTGAAAACCCCGGCCACCACGATCGCCACCCGCACTGAACCTGAGGGGCCCATATCCTTCCGAGCCCGGGCCCTCTCTGTAGGAGCCGTTCTGGTCCATTGGGCATTCTTTGGACCAGTGGCCTTCCTGCCCGCACCGATAACAACCCGTTCTCTCTCCCATTCCCGGCGCGGTACGCAGACGGCTAGTCGAAAGCTTCACGCTCATCAGTTTGCCTTAAGGAAAAGAAAGAATTTGCCATGATATTTCTATTTTTTAGCATGCACACGGAGAAAACGTTCATAAGGTCAAAGAAGCAATAAATAAAAATTTCACGCTGTTTCAACACTGCTATCGACAAAAGCACGGCCAGAATTTTTCAACTGAAAATCGTAACCGTTAGAATTCAATTGTGATTTTAACATGAAACGCTGTTCAAAACCCATTTTGCTTCGGTGATCTGCCGCATTTCAGAGCGAAACGCGATAAAAAAAAAGAGTTTTATGGCCGATAAACAAATGGCAGACTTTTGTTATTTATTCTTTATATAGCCAGGAAAGTCCCATTGAGATGATTAAATCTCTTCTTCCAGAGAGTCCTGGTGTCAAATTATTTTTGTTTTGTATTATTTTTGTAATGCACGGGTGCATTTAGAGAACATAACATTATAATGTAAAGTTGCAAAGATGGATAAACAGTTTGAATTAGAAAATAATTAAAGTCCATAATAATGGAGTTCAAAGAGTTATCAACAAAGAAACCAATAGACTTGAATTATTAATTTGGTATTATAAAATAGTGTTTGTGTGTGTGGTCTTAAAAGGAGTTTATGGCATATTTCCAAGTTTCAAATATAGGTTGTTGTACTCCCCCCCCCCCCCCCCCCATTATTTTTTAACTTATAGTTTTCTGCATTTAACTTAAAATTTTTGCACAAACACACACAGCTCTGCTATCATTACGTGTGCACAGCCAATATTCACTCTTAAAGGGAAAGCTCTTTTCAAGAGAAAGTGCTCTCTAAAAAAACAGTTACTAATATGGTGCTAATATTTTGTGCATGCCTAATTAAAAACAAGCAAATAGCTTCAACTTTCATTTCATGTTGACTTTAAGTGTGTCTGCTCGGTTTTCGATTACTCATGAAATGTCTCTATAATGCCCACTTTGATGAAACACAATTTCCCTTGGTTAAAATTATTTCTATGAGGAATTGATCAACTCAGTGGAAATATTTGGCTGTTAAGACAAAACTTGTTGTATTTTAAACTAAATGGACCTAGTGACCTCCATATAGTAAACTCCAACTAAACAATTCTCCTTCTCTCATCACTTACCAATTTTTCTACTTACCAACCTGTAATGAGGCTCACTTTTGGTACAAACGTGACAAAAATAAATACTTTTTTGAGCTAAACTGGGCAAAGGACCATACTGGTTCACCTTGAAAGGCTGTGTTGTCCAAGCCACTGATGGCCTCCATTGCGTCTTCCACTCGCTCCATATGAACAAACGCATAGTCCTTCACTATATCACATTCAACCACAGGTCCATATTCCTCAAACTTGGCCCTGAGTTCTTGGTTGGTGCAGCTACTGCTAATGTTGCCGACATGAAGTTTTGTAGAGGTCTTGGGCTTCCCTTTGCTCATCTCTACGTTCATGGCCAAACCGTTCAGCATGTAATGGTGAAGATTTCGAATGGCTTCGTCGGCCTCTGCTTTGTCATCCATGTGCACAAAACCGAAGTTTTTGACAATGTCACACTCAGAGATCTTGCCATACTGAGAGAAGAGGGAGCGGATCTCCTCGGCAGTAGTATTCGGCGAAAGGTTCCCAACGAAGATTTTTACCATTTTAGTAATGTAATGTCAACTTTCAGGCCCTGTTGGGAGAAAAAGAAAATATACAGTTCAGGTACATGTACTGCATGTCTAAAAAGGCAGGTAAGCTACATATAATTATGATACCAGAACAAAGGCAGACTTAAATAATAAAATATACATATCAATTTTCTCCCTGCTTATATTAAACTATAAATCTCGTAAATACATATGATAAAAAAGGTTTATAATTGTATAAATAACATCAATGACCAATTCTTGAACATATCCTTCATTTGATTAGAAGCTTTTCAATAAACGGCTGAATCGGTTCTGAATCTGAATAACGAAATCAGTCTGAGCGGTTCACGGGTCAACAATTTAAAAGACTCATTGAATCGAGAACCGTCTCTTTCGTACATGTCCGATTTGTATTGAAAAGAACTGATGAGTGATCTTTTGAAGTGAACAGAGAATTTGAATTAATGAACAAAAAGTACGAAGTTAGTTAAAGTCAGCATGAAACAGATGTTGCGATTTTTTTCCCCCTCCTATTTTGACAAATATCTCAAACATGAAAAAATTGTAGGGCGGGAATTTTGTCCATTGGGAATTGTTTGAATTGTTGGATTCTTGTCGTTTGCAATTTCCATAGCCGCTTTAAGGCCTCCAAGGTATGCAGTGAAGGAGACTAGAGGCCGTTTTTATTAACGGATGTCAATGGAGGAGAGGCACTGAATAAACTACTTTTGTGGGTAGTTGACAAACACTGAATAAACTACTTTTGTGGGAAATCATTTAATAAGTCGACAGCCTATCGGCTAATCTTCAACATGTTTTCCATTAAACATGCATTTTGTATTGATTTAGTTTCAGAGTTTACACCAAAAAAAAAATGCTGTTTTACAAGAGAAGTCAAGGACAATTTTGTGACGGGTAGGATTCAGTTTACGGCACTTCTCATTGATTTTTATGGTCTCCGCAAACAGTGATTCCAATGGTAGAACCGTGGACCCTGCTATCTCCCAATAATAAGACACTGGCTGCAGTGTGAAATCGCATACTTTCCAACAATATAGTAGGGGAAAATCAGTATGTGACTAAAACAGGCCTACTTCTGAATTGACAGTACTCATAAAAGAGTCTGCAAAAAGTACCCGGATGACCTACTATGTCTGGCGAGATTCTCAAATGGACACTTTATTATCCCATGAGGCCACAGGAAAGGATTTGTGAATGGCAGTGAAGCAATGCAACTGACCCAGGTAAGTCACATGCTAAAGGTGAATGATACATACTCACAAAGTACTTATTCGAAATAAGTACAGTAAGTTCTTACTTGTCCGAATTCACAATACTCATAAAAGAGTTAAAAAGTGCTCATAAAAAAGTACATAGATGAACTACTTCCGACCACGGGAGAGGATTTGTGAATGGCAGTTAAGCAACTCTCACGAGTCGGTCACGATAATGATGACACCATGGTGAATGTAGCAGTGGGTTTTGGATTACATTCATTGGCGCAAAGTAAGTACTTATTCAAAATGAGTATCTACTATCTACCTACTCAAGAGCGTATGCGATTTCGGAAGCTGCCTATGATATCTCATATTGCTGTGATCTCATGTGAGTGACAGGTTACCTTATAAACATTATCAGAGGGGAAGTTATTTTGATTAAATGTTACGAGGGGACATAAATAATACTAATAAAAAAAGTTATGCAGGGATAAATCATTTATAATAATAAATAATTCAATATTTTATATATATATATATATATATATATATATATATATATATATATATAAAGGAATCACATTTGATGTCGAATTGATTGTATGACGTATACAAAACAGAGTTGTTTTTAATAAATAGCATTTTATTATGGAATCGTGCAAAAACTTTAAAAAGCGATATAAATTAATAGAGTTTCGTGTAAACGTGCATTATAGATTCCTAATAACTTTATAAGCTGAATCATGGCAATAACACATTAAGTTACAAATAATTCATGAAACATAAATACAAAAAGAAATGTACACTAGAAATTGCTTTATTTTATCGTTTTAGATAATTTATTATGCCACCGACGAACTGCTCGAAAGAATCGACTCGAGGAGACGAGGCGGGCTTCCCATCACTAGCAGAGGACAATGGGAAAAAGCTACACACGATGTGCAGATTTACAAGTCGCGCGACAACAAACCCTCTACATGTAAAATATGAATACATTGAGACCAGCTTTGTATCAATAACTAAAGAATCCAAAGCATTCATAATGCATATAGTATATTAATCAAGTTTACAGTCCATTTAGCCCTGCAACAACTAGCTAACCATGAATACAGGCAAAAACAGTGTAGTGAACGAATGAATCATCACGAAACATACGAAATGCAAGATAAGAGATTAGCCGTTCAGTCAAGAGAACATTGCGAATTTTGATGAAGCATAATGGATGATATTCATACCTTTTCACAATTCTTGCAGGAGCCGGTGCGAGATGAAATGGCGTCACTCTTGCGTCGCATAAAGCGAGGCTAGCTGGAGAATAGAATTGCATGGTGGTATACACACTGCCCATCCCCTTTCATTCCTTCATAGTGAAAGCCTGCTGCAATAAGCTCGCAACTAGAGCTTTCAATCATTTTAAAACAGCATGTGGCCACATAGGTCGTGTAATTTGTGTTACATAATAAAGCACCCAAGTACCAATAACGACACGTCAATTTTAGTCATATTTTAAATATATTTTAGTATGAAAGACAGACAGTTATTTTGTCACCAAAATATTGGTTTATTACAAAAGATAATTCATAAAACACACTCCTGACTTCTGTAGGAAATATACAAACTACAGAAAATTAAATTTATAAACATCTTCACAGAGCTTCCCAAGGCACCCATAAAGAAGAAACGCCAGTAAACGCCAGCAGTCTCAAAAGGTGAATAAAGCCCTGAGTGAGAGTTGGTAAGCACATCTAATGCAAATGTCCAATTAACTCTCATTTAGAGTCCACCTTTCCATCTAGGTGCATCTTCTTACAATCTAAAGATCTCCTCTTATAAACAGTCATTTGTGTGTACAGAACAGAACACGGTTTGCATCCCTCTGAAAGCTGCCCAACTACTTGGGTTGTATATTAAATCAGATCTTCTTTTTTTTTTTTTGAAAGACTAACACATCAAACAGGGGAGTATACAATCAAAAAAGTTCAGTAAAATCATTTCTCCAAGATCACAAAAACTCAACAGACATTGGCAGGAGTAACAAGTTGTCTGTCCTGTTGAACATAGGCCTACCCATTTGATACAACACAATTGAACAACCAAGATGTAAAACTCAATTCTGAACAATCACCTGAAGCAAATAAGAATAAAAAGAAAAGTGGAATGTTGAATTTTAGAGTTTATTTTCCCATAAAGCTTTTTGCAGCTGCAGGATTAATTACAATTTGCCACTCCCCCCCAAAAAAACACAATCCTGGGATTATCGCCAAGAAGAAACATAACTAGATTGTCCACACAAAACTTAAATCAAAGAAATGAAGTGGCAAGCCAACCCAACAGCTGAAGACAAGTCTTGGAGCATAAAAAAAAAAGTTAAATAATAGTGGATCACAACTTGACTGGGGAAAAAACAAGTAAAATTCTTCACAATCTCACAAAGTGTGTTTAATTGCAATTAATATCCGAGTTAAAAAAAATATGCTGACATGAAACACCCCACTTTACCTCTGGATACAAGTGAAAAGCAAAGCAAAAACCCAAAAAAATCACAACTACTAATTTTTGCAATCATACGCCAAAGTCTCCATTAGAAAGGGGAAATTAAACAACAGTTTACATATTATGGGTAAAACATTGTGCAGAGCTAATTAGCATTGTGATCGATGTGTCTATCCAATCCTGCATGTTTGAAATCCGACGGAGCGTCTGATCGAGGCAAAGTCATAATGGTGGAGGGGAACTCTCGTCACTTGACAAAACCTAAAGAACAGGAACAAATGTTCTGTGAGATGAAACATTTGACAGGCATTATTTTCTGACTGTACTTTTTAACCCGAGTAAAGCGGCTTCGCTTACTACTGTACTCGAAACGGCTTACGCTTAGAACAGATCACGCTGACATCTCATCTGAGTCAAAGTTAACGACCCGCATTCGCTCACCTTAGCATGTGTGTGGCTTAGTATGCGTATCGAACCCGCTCGGTGTAGTTCTCCCTGGCCCGCGGCACGGCGTAAGTCGATGAGCTCCTTGAGACCGGGGAAAGTCGCGAGCGCTCGTACGAGTAGCCTTCCGAACCGGCGCCCACACGTCTGATTGGGCTCCGGTCCCGCGAGAAGTACGCTGATGCTGTGGGAGGCGGAGGCGCCAGTGGGCGCCTCTCATAGGGATCGAGGCTGGGAGGAGCCAACCGCATCCTTGAGAGAGAGGAAGAAGAGGGAGGGGGAGGAGGAGGGGGAATAGAGAGAGGCCTATCCTCGTAGAAGCTAGAGCCAGCCGGACGAGCCCGATACTTCTCGTAATAGTCAATGCTTCCGTAGCGTTCTCGCTCATATGTGGACGACCTCTCCGGATAGGCGCTCGGTGGCCTGCTGGGGTACCGCTCTCGAGCATCCGCGCCGTACTCGCCGTAGCTGGGACGCCGGCTCATGGGTGGGGGAGGGGGAAGTGGCCCTGCTGGGTAACCTCTATTAGGAAGACCTCCAGGGCCACCCATACCGTAACTCGGGCCGCCCCTTGGGGGGCCTCTACCGCCGGGGAATCCCCCCATGCTTCCGCCATAGCTACCGTTCTGGCCACGTCTGCAATCTTTGGACCAGTGGCCCTGTTCTCCGCAGACGTAACAGCCAGTTTGGTCTCCCATGCCAGGCGCTGTACGGAGGCGACTCGTGGACAGTTGTACTTTGATCAGCTTGCCTTGTGGAAGGAAGAGAACACACGCAAGACAATGTGAAACTTTCTTCCGCTCACGTAAACCGTCATTTTAAAAGAGAATTATTGCATCACGACAGCCAGAGCACTTATATCACTTAAAGGGTTAGTTCACCCAAAAATGAAAATTGTCATCGTTTACTCGCCTTCATGTCATTTCAAAACCCATAAGACTTTTATTTTCGAAGATATGTTTAGAGATTTCTGTTCTTCAACTGAAAGTCCATTTACTATATTTGATGTGCTCTATGTATGTGTGTTGAATTTTGATCGTTGTTTATGTGAATAAAAGCTAAATTAAATCTATTTGTATTCATAAACACACTGGTTTGTGGTGCAAATTTCACCTTTTACTGCACTTTGTTATTCTAGTTATTTACATATATTGCAGCTAATGAATCTGAAGTCTCACACATTCACAGAAAATGGTTTACTTCAGTGTTGCAAAATAAGGTGGATAATTCTCTCAGGTTTTATTAAGAATATTTTCATTTGTGTTTCGAAAGTGAACAAAAGTCTTATGGGTTTGGAACGACATAAGGGCGATTTTCATTTTTGAGGGAATTATCCCTTTAATATTAGTAAATATGATGTCTACTTCCAATTGTCTAGAAATGGCTTCAGTTTAGCAATTACAAATAACTTAAAAAGGAGTAGTACATTCCTCCCATGCTAAAAAAAAGTCAAATGCAACCCTGGGTAATCATGGATTTCGTCGTTTCAAGGTTAATGTTCACCTTGGAAGCTTGTGTTTTCCAGCCCACTGATGGCCTCCATGGCATCCTCCATTCGCTCCATGTGAACAAAGGCATAGTCCTTCACTATGTCACACTCAACCACAGGGCCATACTCTTCAAACTTGGCCCGGAGCTCCTGATTGGTGCAACCACTGCAGATGTTGCTCACATGCAGCTTGGTGGAGCCCCTGGGTTTCCCTTTGCTCATTTCCACATTTATGGCTTGACCTTTCAGCTCGTGATGGTGGAGTTTGCGGATAGCCTCTTCAGCCTCCTGTTTACCTTCCATGTGCACAAAGCCATAATTTTTCAGGACGTCACATTCTTTTACTTTGCCATACTCGGAAAAAAGAGAACGCAGATCTTCCGCGGTCGTGCTTGAGGATAGGTTGCCAACAAAGATCTTAACCATCTTTATTGTCGTTTTTTCCTGGACAGAGGGAGCATAGTTTCGAAATGCACGTTATATCAACAGATGTCTCCCTACATTACTGCTGCGTTGGCCTACAAAACCATAGACAGCCTAATCCCATCCGAGTTTTATCATCGATTGTGTGGCTGCATGCCAGAATTATTTACGTACAACTCCAGCATTAACATGCTGTGCGTGTAATACTCACTGACCCGATAAATATATGTAAAGTTGGAGACCAGGTTCAGTTGTTGGACTTTATGGCGCAGTTGAATTAACACGCGTTGCTAGGCCACATAACGTTATCCGCGTGACTATCACACCCATCGAATTAAACCCCTTAGGTTTTATTCAACATTAAAGCAAGTTTAACGACCGATACACGATTACGTAAGCAAGCCCGACGAGCGTTTTTTTTTTTGTAGGCCAATTGTGTAAAACTAAGCTAAGTTAGCACGACTAACTTACTGCTACATAAAGTTACCCGCAAGACGACGTCGCCGCATTATGAAATGTAGTACTATAAAAAGAAATGATAGTACTCCGTCTGCATTACCTTTATGTACAATCGAAACACTAACACTCATGTAATAGAGTTGATTGTGTAGGAATATCATTGCCTTACCGTTGCGAGCACGTACTCTCACTGCCTGCAAAGATGAATGAAGCCTAAAATGGAGTCGCCCGCCGTCACTGACAGCACTTCCGGTCCACGAGCTCAAAAACAACCCCGCATTCAGAGCAGTTCGTGTCTGAATAGCTATATATTTTACCGATTGTGAAGACAAGATATTTCAAATATGATGAAATAAAAACCAATACAGCAATGAATTATATAAACAACCTAATGTAGGCCTATAGTACTAATACTACCAAATCGTAACGTTACACAACGAAACGTGTTCCCCGTAATCTTTTTGCTTTTCATTAAAAAAAAAACAATATTTTCTAACCTAAACTTTTGATATAACTATATGATATTTTATGTATGACCAGCAATTACTGATCCAGTCGTGTACCTAACTAAAAATAGCCTGGTAGAATTAAATTAAACAGTCACTATTTCTAATACACTCAAAATACAACATATGCACGCATGTGTATAAAGACATATATACACCCTAACACACGACTGCCATATTCTTCAATTTTAAAATAAAAACCAGGAAAGAGTTTAAGCAGAAAAAAGGCAGCTTTATTGAAAGCGCATCAATTTTTATTTCATTACGTGTCTGCAAAGTGAAAAAAAAAAAAATGCTTTGTACCGAGAACATTACTGGAAGAGGCTTATGCATTTTGTAACCCACATGAAAATGAATGACAGCCATAATTACATACAGTAGATTTTATTGTAAAATTTGTACAAGACAAAGATACGAGACAGGGAAAATTGCCTGAGTTAACCTTCAATATAAAACTTACCCTTAGTCATGGGGTCATCCTTAAGCATGTCATTTGCAGAAGTAATCAAAACATTGATTTAAATGCATATCATTGTAATACAAATGCACTCTGTACCATCACTGCAGTCTACATAGTAAAGGTATACCTTAAAATCATGTAGTTATAAAAAGGCATGCTGGATGGTAAAGAAACTAAATGCATCAAGTGACTTACCTGGTATACTCAAACATTTTCTAACTTAAAAAGGGACCATTTATTGTTAAAGGAAAATATTGTGAAGTCTACCTACTTAATGAACCAAAATAGGATCTGGAAAATCTAGGAATGGTTGAAGGCAAAATAATAGCCTTGAAGACGAAAAGATGGCCATCGCTTGCATTTCGCCGCAGCAGCTGCATTCTCCGTAACACTAAACTAGGGAGCCAGATGTTGTGGCTATTAATGCGAAATTTATGTCAACCTCTAAGCTACATGGTTACTTTTGTGCCTACTTGGGCAAGTTAGGTTTAAAAGATTGGCAAGAAAAATCAAAACGACGAACCAGGTTCCAGTATTTTTATTAAAATTCAAATGTTTCTATGAAAGAAAATGATACAAAGTCCTTGAACTGCGATTCTCTGCAATTAAAATGCACACTACAGAACAATTTCAATAAAGGCAGTAGACGTAAAGGTTTTTATTGCTGCGGAGATTGTATTCTTACTTGCATGCCGCACTTTAAACAAAAGGCTTAGAGAAGAGGAAAAAATTAAAATAAAAACCTTTACACAAATGTATTTTTGGTTCTAAATCAAAATTGTCATAGCGCTTGTTACAGTAGTTTAATAACAAACGATAAGATCATTCCAAATTTTAAAGATAAAAAAAGTACAGTGATACATTGAAGTTCTTTGAAAGAAGATTTTTTATATGCGTTCCTTTAAGTCTTAACCAAACCACCAAGTTAACCTAATTTATGTAATCTGGCTCAGTGCTTTACTCACCCATCAAAATGTTAAACAATAAAAACAAGGAAAAAAAGCAGAGTTGACAATTTAGCATGACGATTTTAAGCGTGTAAAAGCGGTTTTATAGAATGTGCAGTCCGCAACAGAACTCTTCCACTATGGTGCGCAGGCGAACGAAACGCGCTCTGGCAGACAAAGACGTATCGCGGCACGTGCACCTGGAGACAACGACGACGACGATCTTGTTGAATAATTTACACCTGGAAAGAAAGCAAACCACATGAGTCAAACGTCTGTAGTGCCATCTGGCATTACTGAATCGACAAGCCAAGTTAAAACTAAAAAGGATTTATTATGCAGTCTATTTGAATTATGCGAAGTGAGATCTTAATATAGCATACGGTCAATCTAAACACTTCGATACGAAGTTCAGTGTTGCTCGAGCAGTACTTTAAAAAGACAGTAATGCCATTAAAAACTTACGATCCAGGCACTTTGATACAAAGTTTACGCTACTGCTACTTGCGCATCAATTACACCACACGCACAACAGGCCAAGTACGTAAATTCTGGGTTCTACATTAAGAGGGCATTTTAGAGCTCATTTTTGGGTTGCGGGACCTATTCTCACCTTGGGTTACGAAAGCGCAGGGGTGCACTTTAATACGAGTAGCGCGCAGGAGGTGGAGGTGGCGCCGCCCTGTCAGCATAGGGGTCTCTGGGCCGAGGCATGCTGTACATCGGGGTCCGAGACATGGAGAGAGGGGAGAGACGAGATCGCTCGTACGAGTAACCATTCCCGGCGGGTGCCGGTGGGGCAGGAGGAGCACGTCTGATGGGACTGCGGTCTCGTGCATAGAACGAGGATGGCGGGGGTGGGAGGGGACGTCGCTCATAGGGGTCGAGGCCGTTACCAGCCAGTCGCTCTCTCATAATGGCAGATGAGGGGGGCGGAGGGGGAGGGGGGATGGCACCCGCACGACGGTCGTCGTACGAGGAGACGCCGTAAGGGCGAGCGCGGTACTTCTCGTAATAGTCGACCACACCACGTTCGCGCTCGTATGCTGGTGCTGGACGCTCTGCATATGGGGGGCGTCTGGGGGGAGGGGGTGGTGGAGGAGGGGGTCCAGGGGGGTACCCAAAGCGTCCCCTAGGATAACCAGGGGGCTCGGGCCGTTCAGGGAAACGGGGTGGCCAATATCCACCATCTGGGGGGCCATAGCCTTCCTCCTCCTCGCCTCTTGGTCGACTCTTTGAAATCTGCACATGAATTCGTTTTCCTGCAAGAGCAAAAACATTTGATGTATTAGAATTAGACAATGCCATAAATGTGCAAAAACATGTGAAAGGAAGTGATAAAACTATGGCTTTATACCTTGGAATTCGGAGTTGTCCAACCCCTTGATTGAATCCATGGCCTCATCAGAGTTGCTCATGTGTACAAAGGCAAAGTTCTTGATGATGGCGCATTCGGTAACTGAGCCGTACTCTTCGAACAGCGCACGGAGCTCTTCATCGGTTCCTTTCTCCACATTGGCAACGTGAAGCTTCACCGGACCCTGGTTCTTGCCTCGACTCGCTTCAACATTGATGGGTGTTCCATGCAGCTTGTACAAATGAAGGTTTCGGATGGCCTTTGTTGCACTTTTGCGATCGTCCATATGGACAAAGGCAAAGTTTTTGATAATGGCACACTCAGTGACCGTTCCATATTGAGTAAACAGAGCCTTAATTTCTTCTGCTTCTGCCTGTTGAGGCAGGTTTCCGATGAAGATCTTCACCATCTTAGCTGATGTGGTAAGCAGAGCCTGAAACGCACTGTGAGAATATACATTGCAATGACTTACCAACAACACAAATTAAAAGTCAAATTATTATAGCTATACAATGGGCTTTGGTTTGTTAAAACAAAAATCACGCATAAGAATGATAACACGAAACCACGCCCGGAGCTTAAGTGAAATCGAAACAGTTGGACTTCCTGAGAAGCCAATCAACCAGTTGAACCAGTTTATGCAAAATACTTAAATGCATTTCCCCATACATATATGCAAACACCGATAGATAAATAAAAATTGTTAACTTACATAAAGTAGAATTTAACATAAATTGTCGTGCCAAGACAATTCTCCTCACATTATATAGCTAGGCCACGGCCTCGTGTGATTACTTAATGCTAGGTTAGCTGACTAGCGAGCCTCGATAAACATTTAGTTAAATTCACGGCATAATATTTTGTGTATTAATGTTAGTAAGAACGCTTATCGTCATGAGAATATGAATATAGCAAGTAATCGTCGTCTTGCGTGCTCGGCGACCTGAGAGAAACCCATATTTCCGTTGCTACGTTTGAATAAGCTAACAACCTTAGCTTAGTAGCCGAGCAGTCGTTACGCGTCGTCGAGATAAGTACGATGTATTCGGCTTTTACAGGTAACCACATTTTTTCTACAAACCATAAAAACGCTGCTTACATCTAAATTGCTTTAATAAAGCGTACTGAATTTAAAATCTAAAACTGACTTTTTAAAGGTCAAAATACAAGAGCAACAATACTCACCGTCTGTTTCTCACCACAATGAGGAATAGGGGTGGGCCATTCACAAATATACTCCCTTAGTCCCGCCCACATTTCTGAATAAACCAATTAAATATAAGAATGTGGGTCACGCGGAACGAAACAAGCTAGAATTTCTAGCTGTGGAAAATTAAAAGAAACCCTGGTCTGAATGTATGAAATTACTCCGCTTTGGTGTATATTTGTTATTTTTCAGAGGCGCGGTTGTTGAACTCAGTGAAGAATATAAGTTAGATTTATCAGTTTTTATGTCTATGGTCAATTAATTAAGATTAAACGATATCAAACGTTCAGACTTACAACAGTCTGAAGCAAACTGCAAGGAATGAAGTTGATATTCAAATACCGCATAGCAAAACAGAGACTATAGGGAAATCAAAACTGGTAACATTAGTGGGAAACAGAAACAACGTGTAAACATTTATAAACAACGCAACTAAGCACTTTACCAAACCATTTATATATATATATATATATATATATATATATATATATATATATTATTTTGTCTTTATTTTCTCACATATATATTTCTATTAAATTAAATTTCATTTAAAACTGTACGGTGATTTAAATAGGCTACTCAGGCTACCAGTAGGTTGCGGTAAAACGCTTGTTTAAATTGCCGCCCCTGAGCAACAAAAATAAAGAGGGCGTTTACCTAACCGGTTTACCTAAACTTTGACTTATAATAATGTATCATAAAAGCCCTTGCACACTGAGTACGAAATTTTTGTATGCGTTTTTTCGTATTCGTGATTCGGTGGCTCTGAATTGTCAAAACACCATTCAAACTGCTTGCTACGGATGCGAAAAACGCAGAAAATCGAACCCAATCAGAGTTTTTTTACGACGGACGAAAGTTTCGGAGGCAGTGTGAGCAGTTTGTTAAATATAGGATGTGAAATGTAGCATTCACGTCGCGCAGTTACTTAGGTGCTGCTTCCCTAAACGTTATATTACTTTCAAAGGTTTTTATTTTGTTGTGATGACGAAACTATGCGACACACTCTTCCTGGAAACGCGGTCAACATGTGTCATCTGATCAGCTTACCCTTCGCTGTGATTTTACAGATTTGTCAGACAGTTTGTGGGGAGAGACTGAAGACTTCACAAATGATCATCATAAACGTACGTGTCTAGATGTCTAGACAACACAGGCTGACTGGTTATTAAAAGCATGTCACAATACAAAAACTGGCGATCGAGTGCTTGAAACGTTTTTTTTTTTCATCGAAACGATAATAAAGCATGTTTTGCCATGGGAAATCATTGGGGAAATATTATTTTAGAAATACAGCAAGAAATAGATAGCGAAAGCATATAAAGCAGTTGGGCAACTCCGGGGTTTTTGAGAGTCACGTGGGCAAAGTTGGAAGGGGTGTTGGATATCAGTGCTTCTGATGCAATTCCCTCTTTGTTGGTTGTTGAGCTCAGTCTCGCGATCTCCGCTTCAGAACACCACAATAGTCCGTTATAGTTGATGATCGTTGCATCAGCTTCTGAAGGTGAGCTCTAAAACTTAATTATTTAAAACACGTATTCACAATATACTTTGTGTTACGCTAGATCTGTGAATCAGTTTTATTCTCACTTCAGTTCAGAATATTCCGCTGTGTTGCAAAATATAACTGTTCAGTCATTTACCCATGAGTTGTTGTTTTTTCTTAGGTCTATCAGCAGGGGAATTTAACCCTTTTGCCTCCATTTGTCACCCAGAATGAATATCAATAGCAAACTCGAAACTGAAGAACTGCTCACTTGTCTTCATATACATATCTTCCACCCTAATCAAGCCAGTCGCCCGCTCTTCCAAAACCTGCCCCTAAATCAACCATACCATATGGACGCTGAAGATCCACTTCGGCTTGGCCGTGATGGACAAACCTGCATCTTTGTCCTAAACGACACCTCTGTCTCCAGAAAACAGCTCTCCATACAGGCGTATAGGAAAGCCGGCAGCCATTTCTTGAGCTTCATGATCCAGAACATGAGCCAGAAGGTCAAACTCATGGTTGGTGGGTCCGAACTGAGATACCTCGAAAGAGCTGAGCTTGATGACAAGGTGCTCCTCCGCTTCGGAAGATATGAACTGCTGATTTGGCAAGAGCCAGGAGATTCAGAGCATAAATATGAAGTCCTGTTTGAAACATGCAATACACCCCCTTCACAGGAATTGGGCATAGATGTGCCGTGCAACCCACCTGTTATGGATACTGGTTTGCCATTGAGAAGCTTTGAGAATGGAGGACCTGTAAGCCAAGAGCCACTGGAGTCAGATGAGACAGCTATTTTAGTATAGATATTTTCCAGACCTTGCTCTGCATATTATTTTATTATCATCATTGATATACTGTGTTATTAAAATGCATCTCAAATGTAACAGACAGATGTGCAACTGTAGACTTGTGACGTATAAGTGACATTACAAACATTGTTATTATGATTTCTTCTGGAATGCCACTGAACCAGTTTTGTTGCCTGTACATATATATTTTGTTTTTTTTTACTAAATTCTATTGGGTATTTGTCACTTACATGTTTGCTTATAAGGCACTTTGTGTTTTCACTCCATTATTGTTTAGTGTTCATTGCATCATGTGTTTAGCTAGCATTTTTATATGACATAATATTTATTTTATATTGTATTGACTGTTACTTGATCAAATGTGAATCACAAACTTTAAAAAAAATGTGAAATTACAATGATTGAAGGATTATTCATAAACTACTTACAACATGTTGTATATTATATAAAGGAATAAACTTCTTTTACATTGCTTTTGTTCAGATTGCTTTTTTTAAATAGCTATTTAATTGAAAATGTTTGTTTTCAGGTTCATACTGTACATCTAGCATTATACTAAAAAACAAGATACAAGGTCAACTTAATACAAAGTAAATATTTTCCAGGTATTTTAATCAGTTGCTTCAGTATAATGACTATAAAAAAGCTTATTTTATAATAATAAGCTATTCTTAATTAATTTAAGAAACACAACGTTGTCTTTCTGTGATGGACTTGCATCTGTCCAGGGTGTTTCCCCCGTCCGTGTTCTGAGATGATGGATTAGGCTGGATGGATGCGTCATCTTTATATCATCACAATTAATATTTTTCTCTCATGGTAAATTGAGATTTTATCTATGAAAATATAGCTGCTACAAATTTGAGGGTTCTTCTTGGCATCAAAAGTCAGAAAATCTCTCTTTTAACCTTTTACAATCGAGAAATAACAGAGAGTTGCTTTTACTGTAAACAAAACTATTTAAAGCCAATAATTACTGTATATTCCTTTTGTGTCATTCAAAAAACACAGTATAGGTCTGAAAAGCAGAATTCTTGATGATTTCACCTGTTTCAAACATTGGATTATGCTGGAAAATCATGGTTAGTTACTGATCTCTAGATAGCAGTTGTACATGTTTCATTTGGCAGAGAATTATACATCCAAAGCAGGACTGTCAAAACCATCGATTTTGTATTTCTTTCTTATCGATCTTAGAAAGGTTAATCCCAGGTGACCCAGGAACTGAAACTCACCTGAGATCACAATTTTGTTCCATAACTCTTTTGCACTAAAACTATAAACACACCTCCAGTCCTTACTTACAAACAACCAAGGCACTGATAAGCATCAGCTATGGCAGATAACAGATGATTTACAGTAAACACTGTCAGTGGTGAACAGACAAGATCGAAACTCTCAACTGTCTTCGGTGGCGGTACTGATCTTTGTGAAATATACATATAAAAGCAGTATCCCCCGGTTTCACAGACAAGGCTTAAGCTAGTCCCAGACTAAAATGCATGTTAGAGCTTTTTTAACTGAAAGCAACTTGCAATGACATCTCTTAAAATATGTCAGTGCCAATGTTTTGTCTAAAGATGCACAACATTAATGTTTTTGTTTTTTCTGGCAAATTTATAAAAGCTACTTAAATGTCCTAATTTAACAAAGGCCTAATCCTGGCTTAATCTAAGCCCTGTCTGCAAAACCGAGCCAATATATCTTCATGTAAAAATTATTATTAATATTAACTTCAAAGCTAAGTTAAAGTCCCTCCCACATAGGCCTATATGACTTTATATTTATTACAAAGTAAACATCAGTATGTGAATTTGCACTGTACACATGTAATTATAATTCAGGTTTAAAATATAGCACTTAGTTCTATCCAATATTGAACTAAACACTGAGACTGACTGATTTCTCAGAACAGCATTGATTGTCAGATGTCTCCGCATTATCACACTCCCCTGTTATCATGTGGGTCTCTAAGCTTTGGTCAGTGTGCAGACGGTTGTCTGCATGCTTGCATAGATAGTTGCATGTACAGACTGGTTATTTGCTGACTTGCAGTGCAGTTGATGGGTTTTGTTAAACACTTGTGGAGAGTTCAGGCGTCTCACTTATAAAAATGTGTGTAGGATCCTTACTAAAAGTGTACATGCACCCGAAAGCCAAAAATGGCGTACGGCAAGAAATGAGGTTTGATAAACAAGGTTCGGGAGGAGCAGGTGCAGTTAATTAACCCAATCAGCACCAGTGGGGAGCAATCAGTAATCAATCTAGGACAGGATAATATCAGCAGAACCCACACTGGTTCCTTGACAGTTTATCAGCATCCCACCTCCACCCCATCTCCTCTCTTTCAGTTCCATCTCTAGTTCCATCTACTCTTACCACGGGGGAGTACTCTGGGTTCGGGCAGAATTCCGAGCTCGGAGCCCTCCACCCGGACAGCACGCCAAGTACGCACAATCTTTATCATAATAATTATGTGTAGATGCGAACTCGTGAAATATTCAGACTTATAAATATACGAATAAACATGCGTATGCCAGAACCTGTGCAAAATTCCCTTTATAAATCCCAGTCAGCGGAAGATTGTGCGCACATGCGTCTCCACCCCATCTCCTCCCCGAAATAACCATATATGGAGCTTACAACGCCTGCATATCATCATCTGCATATCTTTTGCATTCAAGTGATACCATGTTTAACAGTACAAGACATTATGAAAATATGAGATACGGATGTGCCGTCACATTACGTAGTTAAAAATCATTTAGCCTATCCTTGCCTTGTTTTTGAATAAATAAATACAAATAGTATAAAATACATTTCAGAGAAAGTGGAAAGGGTTTCTCAATCGTTTCCATTGGCCAAATAGTATTTTTTAAAGTGGAAAGGGTTTCTCAATCGTTTCCATTGGCCAAATAGTATTTGTTATTGCTTTATATTTTTATGGAAACATAAAGCCCTTATTCTGCATTATTGAACATTATTTGCACGGAAATATTTTCTCAGACCATGCCATTATGTTTTGCTATTACTATGCGCTAAGCAATCCTCACTCTAGTTAAAACATTAAAACACAGCATGCCACAGGAAAAGTGTTCAAAAGCATCGCATCCACTACAAATATTTCTATTTATTAGAATAAAAAATTAAAAAATAACTTCTTGGTAATGATTTCATGTAATTTAGGCGCCATTAATGAGAATGGCATATTTAATCTTAATGTGTATATCAGTCGTATATTCTTTTATTTATTTATTACTAACGTGCTCTTTAAATAACAAAAAAAATATTGCGCCATTGACTTTAGACCAGGTTTCAGTTGGTCAATGGCGCAGTCAAAATAGCAACGCACCAACAATGCACCCGAACACACCTAGTTTTCAGACCAGCACGCCCATGGGCGCAAATGCATTTGCCATTTAAAAAACGTGGCACAGGACGTGAAAATGATAACTGCGTCGGGCTGAAACTAGCAAAAAACCACTTGCGTCGCACCTGGCGCTGCATTGCACCGGGTGTATGATAGGGCCCTTAAAGTGGTTTTCCTTCATCTGCCATCAGTCCCTCAGCTCACCATCGGTGTCGCCAAACTGCTCCGTCTCCAAAATGTTTGTACGCATGGGTCAGAGTTTGCGTGCAGGTGCGCAAATTTTCCCGTCAAGTTTGTTTTTATAAATCACAACTTATGCGTCGGAAGTGGCATACACTTCTTTCAGGGCCTGTTTTGTGCGTACGCAACGGTTATAAATGAGGCCCCTGGTCTCTTGCATCTTTTCCACCAGACAAACAGTACAGCAGGTCACCATGTGTCATTGTGCTTTAAACCTTTTAAGGAACAAAAACATGGCAAGGCAGGAAATGTGATGCGATGTGTAACATCAAAATATTGCACAAATGTGGAAATGACAGGAAGTGAGAAACCTATCTGAAAGAACACATCATTCTAAGTCATGAGTATCAGTGACTTTATTAGACATCTACAGTTTTAAACCTTTGAGAAAAGTTTACGAATAAAAGACCAAAGAACTCACACATTTTTATATAAGGGACACCTTTTGTTAAAATGTTTGATAATTGAGAAAGGGTCAGAAGTGAAATCAGTTTAGGCAACAAAAGCTTGAGAAAACGCTTTTGCCGTTTTAACTATTATAGAACATAACGGGGAAAAAAGGGATCTGTTTCTATACCTGCTTTTATGAAAATACAAAAAAAAAACTTATTTCAAATGTGAAGTTTCACCACTTTTTATACTCACAACTTACAATGACTGTCTGTATTTTAATAATCAAAAGTATGCCAACTGAACCAGGGTTATAGTCTCATTGAGATACTATCAAAGTTTTTATTATCTATCACATCAAGCATAAAGATAAAGCTAGTTGCATTAAAGTCCAATATAATATACCAAACCAAAGAAAAACAAAAGATGTATTGACTTGTGAATATTATCTTGTAATTTGATATCAGAAACACATAGTACAGCAAGTCACCAAACAGCAGTTTTAAATGTCAAGTGTATTGCTCAAGGTCCAAGGCTCATGTCCATTTCCACTAAAGTCCTTCTAGAGCCTCTTTTCAAATAAAAACTACTTTACAATGTTTGCCAGTTAGGGGTTAGCAGCCTCCACTCAGTCAGCAAGGATACAATGACACGTCTTTATGGTTACGAGCTGAGAACTATTGAGTTTGCATGCGTAAGACTGAAAGGAGGGGAATTGGACATTGACGAGATTACAAAATTAACATAACATTACCACAACTACATTTTTACAATGTCATTAGCATAACATCAGGATCACAATACTGTAGGTATGCATACTAAATTGCTCTCCTTTTTTTTTTTTTTTCATCATCATCATGTTTATTCTTTCAGGCACACCCTCTGCAGCGAGTATAACAAATCTATAAACACAAATATTCAAATACTGCAGCGAGTATAACAAATCTATAAACACAAGACCTTATTCAGAGCAGCGCCATGACCGGTGTGAAAGGCTGTGAGGGACAGACTTACCGTGTTTTCAATGGCATCCACTGTAAAAAAGCTGTATAAAGTTCCTGGATCACTTATAATTTTCCACAGCTCATATTGTCTGGAGGTTTTGGTCTACTGAAATTTCTTGAAAAGATATTTTTGCAGTGTTTTGTCAGAACAATTCAAAAACATATAAAATAACAATACAGCCTGTACTCAAGAGATGTATGTTTATCCCTCACAGCCTCACTTTCATTCCCGTTAAAAATCAAAGATGGCACTGCTGTGAATAAGGTCTATAGCTTAAATAACTTATTCTTCCCATTTCCCTTTCTCCCTCTTTCTTTTCTCTACTTTTCCGCAGTTACATTTATGCACTTTTGTACAACTCTGTTTTACTCTTGAAATTCTAGCATTGCCATCTTT